TTTTTTTTTTTTTTTTAAGATTTATTTATTTTGATTGGAAAGTCAGATATATACAGAGAGGAGAAGAGATAGAAAGGAAGATCTTTCGTCTGTCGATTCACTCCCCAGGCGGCCGCAACGGCTAGAACTGAGACAATCCGAAGCCAGAAGCCTGGATCTTCTTCCTCCAGGTCTCCCACACAGGTGCAGGGTCCCAAGGCTTTCGGCCATCCTCGACTGCCTTCTCAGGGAACAGGCAGGGAGCTGGGTGGGAAGCAGAGCTGCCGGGATTAGAACTGGCACCTATATGGGATCCTGGTGTGGGCAAAGTGAGGATCCCATATGGGCGCCGGTTCTATCCCGCAGCCCCGCTTCCCTTCCAGCTCCCTGCCTGTGGCCTGGGAAAGCAGTCGAGGATGGCCCAAAGCTTTGGGACCCTGCACCCGCGTGGGAGACCAGGAAGAGGCTCCTGGCTTCGGACCGGCATGGCATTGGCCGTTGCGCGCACTTGGGGAGTGAATCATCAGACGGAAGATCTTCCTCTCTGTCTCTCCTCTCTGTATATCCACCTTTCCAATAAAAACATAATAAAAATAAATCTTTTTTAAAAAGAGGCTACAAAAAAAGAACATATCTCAATGTGTTACTCATATGTCTATGATGGTCCTGGTGCAAACAAATCAACTGTACTACTAGTTATATAAAAATTATATAAAAGTGTAGCACGTGAAATCTACATCATACTTGATAACAATTTATTGTTGCTGGTATCTGTATTTATTATGCATACTTTTTACCATTACTTTAGAGCATATTCCTTCTCGTTATTAAAAACAAGTTTGCTGAGGGCAGACACTGTGCCATAGCAGTGAAGTTGCTGCTCAATATGTATGCATACTGTACTAGAGTGCCTGATTTGAGCCATAACTATTATACTTTCTTTTTAAAGATTTATTTTATTTTTTTACTGGAAAGTCATATTTACAGAGAGGTGAGACAGAGAAAGGTCCATATGCTGATTCACTCCCCAAGTGGTCGCAACAGCTGGAGCTGAGCCAATCCAAAGCCAAGAGTCAGGCACTTCTGGGTCTCCCACGCAGGTACAGTGTCCAGAGGCTCTGGGCCATCTTCTTTTGTTCTCCCAGGCCACAACAGGGAGCGGGGTGTGAAGTGGAACAGCCAGAACATGAACCGGCACATGCAAAGTGAGGATTTAACTGCTGAGCCAACATGCAGGATCTAACTATTTCACTTCCAATCCAGGAGCCTGATAGCTAATGGGCAACCTGGGAGGCATCAGATAATGACTCCAGTACTTGCATTCCTGAAACTCTGGTGGGAGACCTGGCATTGAGTTCCTGCTTCTGGCTTCAGGCTGACCCAGTCCTGGCTTTGTGATATTTGTGTAGTGAATCAACAGATGGAATGTTACCAGACCAGGCCAGGTAATGGTACCTATTGCATACATTTGGCGCAGGTCAGGGCAAACCAGGCAGGGTCAGTCCACACCACCCACTGGCAAATTCAAGCACCAAAGTGAAGTGTGGGCCAGGCCTGGTTCGGCCACAACACATGCCAGTTCATATGAGGGCCAGGACTGAGAACTGGCTAGGCTGGGCTAGACTATAGCCTCTACCAGTATGGGCTGGAATTGGGGATGGACTGGGCCCAGCCAGACTACAACACCCACTGGTAAACCCCAAGGTAAGGCAGCCCATGCCAGACTAGGCTGTGGCACCCAACCAGCACACGTGAGAATTAGTGAGGGAGCGGGGGGCATAAACCCAGTAACAAGGTTGCTTGGGGCTCGCCTGCTGGGCCACAACTCCCACTGGTGAGCGTGAGAGCTGGGATGGGGCAGACCAGGCTAAGCAGAGCTATACACCTGTTGGTCTCATGTGACTGGATCAGGGGAAAGCCAGGCTGGGTTGATTGTTTCTACTGGTGCATGCATAAGCCAGAGCTTGTGTGGGTTGGTTAGGCTTTACTACAGCATCAGCTAGCAGATGCTGGCACAGGGGGCTAATTCTGTCAAGTTAAACTGCAGAACCAACTGAAGAGTGCAAGATCCAGGAGTAGGAGTGGACCCAGTAGGGAAACAGTGGGCACCTCCCTCTTGGGTTGCCACTCCCACTGGTAAGCATGACAACCAGAACTGGGACAGGCATGGCTAGACAGAGTGGCACCCACTAGCAGGTGTGTGGGCTAGACAGTGAGGCTGGTTGGGGTGAACTAGGCTTCAGTACCCATTGTTGGTACGTATGAGAACTGAATGGGATATGGGACAGACAAGACCAGCTTGCTGTACATACTGGCAAACATGGGAACCAATGCAGGGAACAGACCTGATGGGGGTTATTGTGGGTCACTCAGACTAGGCTGTAGCTCCCACTGGTTTGCGTGAGGGCCAAGTGTGTGGTGGGCAAGATCGGGCTGGGCTGCAACACCCATTGGTTTGTGTAGACGACAGGGCTGGAGACAGTACTGACCCAGCAACTGCAACTACCAGCATATGCATAAGCTGACTGGGGTGATGGACTATGCTGAACCCTGTATTGGCAGGCACACACAAGAATCAGGTCTGGGATCACCTCAGATGAAGTTTCTTTGGTGATTCCCCAACTGAATCGCTGGACTCAGAACTCCAACCATGAAGAGAATTGCAGGTTCCATGGTCTGACCATGGAGTGCATATGTCACAGCCAAACTTCCTCAGTGGCCTAGATGGAGCAATAGATAGCATACCCAGGTGCACATGGAGCATATGGCAGTCCATTGGAGTCTGCAGAGGACACCTGGTACCATAATGGAGGACAGAGGACAGATCAAATTGATCAACTACCTCCAGTCAATTGCTGGCAGTGAATATCTGGACAAACAGAAGACTCTAGGGTGGACTATGTCAACCAGTGTTTTCTGGAAAAATCACATTGTGCTTGGAGTGGTGAGACTGGCAGTAACTCAGACCTGTTGAACTATCGAAACCTCTTGAGCAGACCGTTGGAGCATGCCCCACATCAGGGACCCTGGGGTGGTATTACATGGCTGTCCTCCATCCCAGAGTATGGAGGCAGTGCAAAGCTAGATGTGGCATCTCCCCTTTTCTTCCCTCTTCCCCTAGACACAGAAAGGGAAAAAAAAATGTGGACATAATGGTTTCACCCACCTGCCTGTAGCCCTTGACCCTCTGCATCCTAATCAACAATGTAAAAAATAAAAATATTTATCTTTTTGAAAAGAAAATAATGTTTAAAGTTTATGAAAAATGAAATTAAATGGGAAATTCATTTTTAAAAGAACAGTCCACTATAGAATGATCTGCTATGTTCCAGAGGAGGAGCCTCATACATCTTGTGTTTGCTGCGTCTCCTGATTGCATCAAGAGGTTACATGGAATGACTCAGCTATGCCAGCTAAGTTTGGGTAAGTACTAAGATACTCACACAGTGACGGAATTGCTTAACACACTTCTCAGAATGTGGGCCCACTGTGCAGTGATGTGTAACTGTACTCATTTTGCTTGAATTTAAAAACCTTTCTTGGGTCTGGGGCGGTATCTGCTCACACAATGGGATCCAAAATGGGTGCTGGTTCTAATCCAGGCAGCCCTGCTTCCCATCCAGCTCTCTGCTTGTGGCCTGGGAAAGCAGTTGAGGACAGCCCAAAACCTTGAGACACTGCACCTGAGTGGGAGACCTGGAAGAGGCTCCTGGCTGTTGGCTTCGGATTATCTTAGCTCTGGCTATTGCAGTCACTTGGGGAGTGAATCAGTGGGCAGATCTTTCTCTCTTTCTCTCTGCCTTTATATATATCTGAATTTGCAATAAAAAATAAACATATTTTAGAAAAAAAACAACTTCCTCATCTGGCTAATCCATCTATGGAACCGTTTTTCACCTCTTACCCTCCACAAATACCTACTCTTGAACCATGCCAAAAACACAAAAATACTTCATCTGAACCCCAATTTCAGCCAATGCTTGATCCTGGGTACTGTTACCACAGTTCTCCTTTCCCCCATTTACTCAGATTTTCCAGGTTCCAGCCTCTCTTACTGTGCCCCTACAACCCACTCCAGCTGAAGGGTGGCCCACACTCAAGCCTTTCAGGGTTTCTCTAGCTCTGTCCTCTCCCAGCCCTGGGTGTAGCCCTGCCCTCTGTTTGACACCCTAGACCCCTTGCCCCTGCTTCCACTGCTGAGCTCAGTTCTCAGTGTGGGTGGCCACTCCTTGGAGGGGACTGCACAGTCACCATCCTCTCAAAGCACCTGCCCCAATGGTTTACTCTTAATTCTTTCCCAGTGTCTCGATCATCTGTTGTTGACTTGTCAGGAACCTTCCTGTCCTCTCTGAGAAAACCAAGACATCACCTCTCCCATAGCTTTTAGTTAATGGGTATATTTATAAAGATTATTTTGTGAACAAATTTTTATGGACATGATTAGACTTCTCGTCAGAGGATTTCAAGTCTGGTTGTTGATACTTAACCCTGCTCTTTATTTCTTTCTATCAGTTCTCTCTTTCTTACCCAAATAGACAAAGACATAAGATTCTTGATGGCAGTAATAATGTCAGTGTGATGATCTCCACAACATCCTGCAGAATGTTTAAAGAATCTATACTTTCTCAGAGCATGCCCCACATCGGGGTCCTGGGTTGGGTGGGAGACTGGATGGGGCTTCTCCCTCAATATTTCCTTTACCTTAGATAAATGAATAAATTTTTTTTTTAAAAAAAAAGAATCTATACTTAATTAAAAATAAACTTGTCTTCTTCTGTTATGTTCTGCTCTTCACATGCCAAAAGGTATTTTTTAAAAAGCTCTCTGCTTATAGGGTTAAAAGCACGTGTATGTTGTATTAACCTCAAAAAGGAAGTCTACTCTCAGGCTTGCACACAGCGTTATGGGCTCAAGGGCAATGATGGTAGAAACTGTTTTGATTTCATTTCTGGAAAGTTAGAAGTAACCAGAAGTATGTGACAAGTTCCGTCTTAGGCAACTGGGTCTTATGACCAGAGTTTTTCTTAAAAGGTAGATGCATTTACCACTTTCCTCCAATCTGAATCAAAGAGCCCTTCACCAAGAGAAAAGACCATTGAACTGCTCATGGCTGGTCTCTTTTTTTCCAGTGTTTGAACGACTGTTTTCAATGGATGGAGTCCATGACCTTAAGTGACAGCCTCCAGTGCCGCATGAAAAAGTGAAGAAGTCTAAATATTACCGATTCTATTCTAACTTAGGCTTCAGCCAAACGTCTAGATTATTCTTCTGCCTTCCTCTGCCTGGAATTGTAAGTAGATGCTGACTTATAGTGCTGCCTTGCAGGGTACGGTGGCCTATAGTAGCAAGCCATGGGGGGGTGCATGCAGCCAGGACCACAGATGGGAAGGCCAAGATTTTACAGAAATAACAAACCTCTTGCCCTCCTGCTCCCCCACTGGGCAGCTCTCATCCAAATTCATGCTCCACTTAGTGTGAACTTGAAGCTTTTAGTACAAGATATTCCAATCCCTGTGGTGGTCCGCAAAGAGCACGTGTGGACCTGTAAATTAGTAAAAGAATAAAATGTGCCAAAATTGTGCCACACGGTGAATTCTGTGTGGACTGCGACTTCCCATCATCATGACCCCAGCAGTTCCTCAACTACCCTGTTCGCACCTCTCCCATTACCAACTTTATTTGATCTTGAAGTGCACGCTCGCTTGCAAGGAACGTGATTGTTGCTACTGTTCTAACTGGTATGTGGTGATGAGGTTTCCTTCTCCCAGTCTTCCCCCATGTCTGAGGACTTGGCCGTTGATGCTTGAAAGATGAACACTTCAGGGCTAGTACTGTAGTGTAGTAAGCTAAGCTTCCACGGCTCTGGCATTCCATATGGGTACTGCTTTGAGTCCCAGCAACTCGACTTCCAATCCAGCTCCCCGCCAATAGCTTGGGAAAGCCATTTGGGGATTGAAACAACTGATGGGAAGAGCTCTCTGTCTCTTTTTTCTCTCTCTGTAACTCTGCCCTTCAACTAAAAATAATCTTTTTTAAAAGAAGAAAGATGAGCACTTTTAACATATATTTGATGGCATTTGTTGTCTAAATTACTGTGAAATAGAGTGGAAATAACATATCCAGATTTTTTTTAAAAGATTCATTCTATTTTTATTGGAAAGGTAGATTTACAGGTAGAAGAGACATAGAAAGATCTTCCATACACTGGTTCACTCCCCAAAGGGCTGCAATAGCTCAAGCTGAGCCGATCCGAAGCCAGGAGCCAAGAGCTTCTTCCACGCCTCCTATGTGGGCACAGGGTCCCAAGTTGCTCACTCAGTCTTTCCTCACACTTATTTCTGCACTTACCAAGCCAAATTTGGATTTTAACTGGCACTTTTCCATATTCTGGTAGGAAGAATGCCCTGGTTGCATTCAGATATTTCTTATGTTGTTTTATAGTTTTATACATCAATCTACTGTAAGTTGGTGGGAATCAGTTCTGGAGCAATTGTTCAATTCTTGGTGCCAAGAAAAAAATAACAAAAACATTTTTTAAAAGCTGCATTTACTCTTATTGGAAATGCAGATTTATAGAGAAAAGGATACATAGAAAGATATTGCATCTGCTGGTTCATTCTACAAGAAGCCAGGAGCCTCTTCCGGGTCTCCCACGTGAGTGCAGGGTCCCACGGCTTTGAGCCATCCTCCATTGCTTTCCCAGGCCACAGGCAGGGAACTGGATGGGAAGTAGAACAGCCATATGGGATCCCAGGGCTTAAAGGGGAAGGATTAGCCAATGGAGTCATTCTGTACCTAACAAAGCCGAGGACTAGGTGCTCTTTGTGGTAACCACACCAGGTAAAGGATGTGACCAGTGGTGGCACTCCCTCTCTCGGCCACTGCTCAGACATCCCATTGTAGTCTCTCCAAGAATTAGCCCTTTGCTGCCTCAAGTGTTCTGGGGTTCCTTTTTCCATTCTCAGAAGATAGCATGGGAGGAAGGAACTCCACGCCCAACTCCAGAAAGGGTAAGTTCAGAACAGAAACCATCACCTTTCTCATTTTTAAGTTAAAACGAGCATGGAGGAGCTGATGCTGTGGCATATCAGGTTAATCCTCTGCCTGCAGCATCAGCATCCATATGAGTGCTGGTCCTAGTATTGTCTGCTCCACTTTTTTTTTAATTTATTTTTTTTTAATTTATTACATTGCATTATGTGACACAGTTTCATAGGCTCTGGGATTCCCCCAACCCCTCCCAGTACCCTCCCCTATGGTGGATTCCTCCACCTTGTTGCAGTATTACAGTTCAATTCAGTCAAGATTCTTTCATTGCAAGCATATACCAAGCATAGAATCCAGCATCTTATTGTCCAGATAAATTCAATGGTTTCTTGGGGAAACCATCTCTGGTTTGAAGGTAGAGCTGGCAGAATATCATTCCAATCAATTAAAAGCCACAACATAACATCAACAACAATTTACAACATTATGGAATTAATTGACATGGTATTGAGTAACCAATATGTTAAAAAAAATGCAAGTTCTTAACCACATCCTGTGACTACTTCATTGACATTTCAATTTTAATTTATATATAACCAGCTTCTATACATCTTAAAATGGCTATAGGGTACAATTCAGCTGTCTCATGTCTATTTTCATTTTAGTATTTAACAGTTTATAGTGTTGAAGCATAATTTTGCTGAACTTGGCAGATTTTAGGAGTCTAAACTGGCTTATAACTCTAACACGGCATATGTCAACAGTTGAAGTATAGAACAGTTTTAGGAGGGGTGTGCAGAGAAATCTTCAGTACCTTAGTGAGGAGTAACTAATCTTTGTGTCCTACCTAATAAGGTATGTCTGCTCCACTTTCAACACAGCTCCCTGCTAATTGCCTGGGAAAGCAGCAGAGGATGACCTAGGGCCTTAAGCTCCTGTACCCACTTGGGAGAAACCCACCTGGCTTCATATTGGCCTAGTTCTAGCCATTGTGGACATATAGGGAGTGAACCAGCATATGGAAGATCTCTCTCTCTTGCTTTAACTCTGTCTTTGAAACAAAAATAACTAAATCTTTCTAAAAAAACAAACAAATAAAACACTAGGGCTTGGCACAGTAGCCTAGCATCTAAAGTCCTCGCCTTGCACACTCCACGATCCCATGCGGGTGCCGATTCCAATCCCCGGTGGCCTTGCTTCCCTCCAGCTCCCTGCTTGTGGCCTGAGAAAACAAAGGAGGACAGCCCAAAGCCTTGGGACTCTGCACTTGCATGAGAAACCCAGAAGAGGCTCCAGCCTCCTGGTTTTGGTTCAGCTCAGCTCTGGCCATTTCTACCACTTGGGGAGTGAAACAACTGGTGGAAGATCTTTGTATCTGCCTCTCCTCCTCTCTGTTTATCTGACTTTCAAGAAAGAAAGAAAGAAAGAAAGAAAGAAAGAAAGAAAGAAAGAAAGAAAGAAAGAAAGAAAGAAAGAAAGAAAAGCTGGGAGAGCTGGAAATTGTGCTGAGGGATTATTATGAGACTATAATGGCTTGTTCATCTCTGAAATGGGAAGATTCAGTTTTATGATCACAAAAATCTCAACAGCAAGTGCAATTAAAGTGATGGGGCAAGGACATAAGTCCAGCTGCCACAGCCATTAGAATTCCCAAATAGAGAATCTGGACACGAATAGCAGAGACCTGACTGGCACCCATGTGGGATGACAAAGCTGTGGACATGCTCAGTGTGCTAGGCCATGGTGCTGGCCTTATCTGAAGCTCTTACATGGGAAGGAATTGCTGAAAAGTGGCAGACACACTAATGTCTTTCTTGTTGTTCTCTGACAGACAGTCAAGGCATCCTTTCCACAACAGCCCCACCGACAACCCCAACTACAGCCCCACCGACAACCCCAACTACAGCCCTACCGACAAGCCCTGTAGCCTGTCTCCAGAAACAGTATGTGAGAATTCTCTTTTCTGCCTCATCTTATACTATATGGAGTTTGGTTTTTTAATTACTTGTTGGCGTTTGGGGAGTTCAGGAAGGGCTATGGGGAGTAAAAGACCAGAAACAACGGAAAAACTACGTCAGTTTTTTTTTCCCCAGGAGTGTGGTTCAGAGCTTGGTGTTCCCCAAGCTAGATCCCTAAGCTTATAAAATTTGCTATAGGGAGCTTATGAACATTATGTGTATGTACTGGCACAAGGGAAAAATTTGTGTGTGGGGGTGGAGGGAGAGTAGAAATCCACCACTTCCCCTGAGGCCGCCAACACTCAGATAGGTCTGGAGGTGAAGGCAGAAGCCGAAACAAGTGGGTAAGAGAACAAATCAGAGGCTCACATGCTGGTGGGTTGGTGGGTAATTCTCATTCGAGCCTGCAGGAAAGGTCCTCAAAGACACCCAGAGGTTCACGTGCTCCCTGTCTTTGCCTAAACAGCAATGAACATTTAGTCTTGGCCTTCTTTGCTGGGATTCTACTGACCTTGTTGCTGCTGGCCTTTGTCTTGCTCCTCCTAAAGAGCTGCAGGAAATGTGAGTGGTCTCCCAGGAAGGGAACAACCCTTCACCCTCTGCCTTGCAAACAGCTAGCTAGCACTGAAAAGGAGGAGTGTGCTGGGGTGCAAAATCCCCTGCTCAGCTTGCACTACCTGCTGCCTCAGCCCTAGGACCCCCTCAGTTGTTCTTGCTTCTGCCCGGCCTGTCCTCTCCAACTCACCCCTTGCCTTGTTTGGAGTGAGAGGTTCTTGTCCTGCTAGGCCCTCCTGCTGAGATGTTTGTCCCTCTTCTTCCTGGAACTTGTTGCAGGTCGCTCCAGTCCCAAGGCCTTGGATCCTCACTCAGATCCTCCAGCCAAGGTAAGATGCCCAGGCCATTTCTGGGACCCCAGAGGACCACGGCCATTCCAATGCCCCTCTGTGCTTGGCACTGTCAGCTAGAATATCACTGCTACATTCTGGACACGTGGCTAGTGATTCTTTGTAGAGTTTTCATCTCTTTGGATCTCCTCTGGCCAAAGCTTCATTCAGGGTGTTTCTAAGAAGACCTCTCTGCTCCAAATGGAACTTGTTACTTTCTTTTTCTCCTCCTGCAGGCTTCCTCCACCCCAGATGAGTCACTCACCTATGCCAGCATGTTATTCAAGATCTCGGGAGAAAAGACTGAGAACCATGCTACAGAAGTAGAAGCCACTGTCTACGCTCAGGTTAAGGTAGCAACCCCACCCCACCTTTCCAGTAAGATTTGAATCTGGCTCCTCTCATCCCAGCTCCATCTCTGCCCACTGTTTTTCCTCTGTGAAAAAATTTGAATCACAGCCTAGCCTGGAAGAAACTGCAGTTGTGGTTGTGTAGGGAAGACCAGGCAATGCAAGCAACAGTTCTGAGGTCCAACAAGCAGACTTTTTTCCTGGACAGAGATGAGGTGCCTGGCCTTCCCACTTGAACTGACAGCCTGTTAGACACTTGAAGACTACAACTGTTTCCCTTGATGTGTGGAGTAAAGAACCCAGGGCACTAACAATACCCACCAGCATCATTGGAAGGAATCAGCCAAATGAATGATCCACCAAGAATTTTAGATAAAGGCAAACTCTTCACAGTGATGACTCCTTCATCATCTGTTCGTCTACCCTGTCACCTTCTCCAAAACCAGAAGTCCTGAGCTCATCCATAGCCAAAACAACCAGCACAGGTGCTGGTGTTCTGGAACAAGCTCAAAGCTGACTAGTGTCACAGGTCTCATACTCTGCCACTCATCAGTGGCCATTCATTTATCCAAGTTGGTTAAATACTTTTAAAGTCTCAAATCCTTCATCTTCGAAACAGGGACAAAAGCATTTACCTCTTACAAAGAGGATTAAATAAAATATTTTTATACATAAGCATCCCAGAGTCTCACTCAACAAATGTAAAGTCTCTATTGCATAAGAACTATTCAAATATGGATTTCTATCTTCTTGCAACAGCGTAAGAGGCATGCATGGCATTAGATAAGGTTAATGTTAATTCCTCCAAATCTCAGTGGATAATCACCTAAACAATATCATGTAAAATGCCAGTAAGATTTTTTTTTTCACTAGAAAATGATACTCTAAAGTTTCTATGTGGAAAAAAAGAAAGAATAAGGAAGTACATCTAGAATATACAATAAAAGTAAAATCAGGAAGGCTAGCTCTAATAGCTAACTAAAAGTACCTGCTTTATTAAGCAATATGAATTAAAACAATCTCAATGGTACATGAAAATATAATTTAATGAAATCACATAAAAAGGACAAAAATACCAGAATACATAGAGAAATTTGTAATAGAATGAAAATGAATTTCAAATCATTTAGGGGGAATGGTTTATCCAATAAATGATGTTGAAATAAAAGAGTGAGCTTGTAAGTGAAAAAAGCTCCACAACTCAATGCTTTATTAAAAAAAATTGAAGACATTTCCAAAATTAAACATAGTTTTGTGGGTCTCTGAGCATCACCATTGTGGCTAAAAAGAGCAAGAAACCTAAAACAGATTGCACTAAAAGGCCAGGAAGAAAGTGATTGATCCATTTTCTTTTCTCTTTTTTGAGATTTATTTTTATTTGAAAGGCAGAGTTTCAGCAGAAAGAGAAGAAGAGACAGAGAGAGAAAAAAATCTTCCATCTGCTGGTTCACTCCCCAAATGGCCACAATGGCTGAGCAGGGCCGGTCCAAAGCCAGGAGCCAGGAGCTCCTTCTGGATCTCCCACATGGGTGCAGAGGCTGAGAGACTTGGGCCATCTGAGGCTACTTTCCCAGGCCATTAGCAGAGAACTGGATTGCAAGTGGAAATAGCCAGGACTTGATGCCCATGAAGAATGCCACTTAACTTGCCACTTCATAGCACCAGCTCCAGTTAATCAATTTTCTAAGCAAGATGAGTATGACAGGCAAGCACCTGTGAAGTTCAATACAAGAAACACTGGGAAAACACTAGTCAGAAAAACTCAAGGTAAGAAAAACCTCTCTGCTGGCCTCGAGGTCTTCTATTTGAAACCAGTCTTGCAGATATACAGAATGATGAGTTGTACTTAAAAAGTTCAGGCTAATTATGGAGGATGTTCAGGCCAAAAGCTGTGTCACTAATTTCTATGGTGCAGATCTGACTCGGGAAAACATGTTGTCCTAGACTTAAAATTGACAGTGCAAGGCTGAAGTTTAAGTTGACATCATCACTACCAATGATTGCTCCATCTGTTTTGTGTTGGTCTCAAATATGGAAGACTTTTTCTGTTCAGCACCTACAGTTATGCCACATCCCAAAGATGAAATCCTGACCTGAGAGTTCTGCAAACAAACGGCTTGGAAAAAACAGTCAATGAGTTGGTTCCAGGAAGCACTAGAAAAAGACATAAACGAAACTTGCAAATCTGCTTGGCCCCTCCATAATGCCTCCCTTAGAAAGCCCAAAATAATAGAGAATCCCAAGTTTCAATTTGGAAAACTCACAGAGCTTCATGCCAAAGGGATATTTCTGGAAAGACCACTGGAGATGAGTCAAGTACTAACGTTGAACAAGCTGATGGATATGAGCTAGTCCAAGAATCCTTTTAAAATTTCTACTTTAATAGTGACAAAAACTATTAGTGGGAAAAATGTTTAATTGTAAAAATGTTATTGAAGTTACTAGGAAAAAATAAGGGAGAGTCTAAAAAATATGGCTCACCCTAAATGAAGCCAATAAAGATTAACTGGATTGGGAGAGCTGAATCAGGTGCTATTTTGTTTAAGGAAGCAGAGGCTATAGGACATATCTCACCAACAGAGATCAGCGGAAACTATATCTCACAGGTTTTGATTTTTTTTTTTTAGTTTTATCTCTCCAAAGCTCTTTCTCATTAGATTCTTTACTGACACTTTTTTTCTGATTAAATTCTTCAGTGACGCATAGATCATACAATAGCACCATTTTCTTCAAAAACGTCCTTGACTTTCTTTTTCATTTCTTCAGCAACATATTGGCCATTCAGTAGCATGTTATTTAACTTTATTGTGTTGTTAATTTCTTTTTTCTCCCTGTTATTGATTTTGTTTCGTGGCTTTTAATTTGAGAGGATGTGCAGTAACTGCAATGGAGATTATCATATCTAGTAGCATGCTATTTAACTTCATGACATTGTAAATTTCTATTTTTCTTCCTGTTGTTGATTTACATTGTGGCCAGTGACTGTGTAGTGGGGACTGTCATGTCCAGATGTGAAGATACAATGCAGTATGCATCTTTGCTTCCAGACAGAAGCCATGGACTCCCAGTGAAACTGTTTACTATATCTTGACAATAAGATGCTGGACTCTCTGCCATTGTCTATGCCCACAACAATGGACATATGACTGTTTATGAGGAACGATACTATGGTAATGATATAGGGGAGCTCAGTGAAAGTGGAAGACAAACCAAATATTTGGATCCCTGCACTCACTTGAAAGACCTGAAAGGAGCTCTTGGCTCCTGACTTCTGTGTAGCCCAGTGTTGGTCTATGTAGCCACCTGGGGTGTGAACTAGAGGATGGAAGATCTCTTTCTCTCTTTCTCTCTCTCACTGAAAATTTTCTCCCCAAAATGCTTTACAAAACTAAATGAAAGGCAAGTGGAAAACTTGGAAAACATTTGAAAGTCCTTCATAGACATGGGGCTGCTTTTCTTCATACTCATCATGCACAGCCTTTGAAGAGCAAAACACTGAGAAATCCTTCAATGTCATATTGAGAAGACTCTGGTTAATGAGGTACAGTGAAGCCTTTACAAAGAATAAGGGAGCTCTATATGTTCTAATCTCTTCTTTAAAGATTGATTTATTTATTATTTACAGAGAGGAGACAAAGATCTGCTATCAGCTGGTTCACTCCCCAAGTGGCTGCAATAGCCAGAGCTGAGTCAATCTGAAGCCAGGAGCTTTTTCTGGGTCTCATGTGGTTTTAAGGTCCCAAGACTCTGGCTCGACTTCTACTGTTTTCCCAGGACACAAGCAAGGAGTTGGAAGGGAAGTGGAGCATCTGGGAGAGAACCGGTGCCCATATGAGATGACATTTGCAAGTCAAGGATTTAGCCACTGAGCCATAACATGAATGTTTTAATTTAAAAAAAAAAAGTCTCTAAGACATGCTGTTAAATGAAGAGTGCAAGCTGTTGAGCAGAATTTAGAGTATGTCCCAGTTACATGCAGTAGAGAACACACTCATGTGCTTCAAAACATCATGGAAAACACAAGTTGAAGATGTTTATTTTGGTGCTAGAAGAAAACTGAAACCCATGAAAAACATCTATTATGGGAAAAAAATGCTCATGATTTCCAATGTGTGTGCTTTTAGTGTATCTCTGGGAGAAAACAGCTTGTCCTAGTGCTTGTCTGAGCAGGGGAACTTGGCACCGGGAGGAGCGGGAGTCAGGTTTGGGAAGGAGATAGGCTTTCTCAGAAAGACTTCCTTGCAACCTTTGCAGAACTTTGTATCCCAGAAGAGTTTTCAGAAGACCTAGTGCCTGGTGTTCCCTGTCCCTCTCCTGAACTCTGAACTGATGAGCACAAGAAAGGAGAGACCCAGCAGAGAGAGGCCAAAGTGCCCTATTTGTTATAGAGTTGACACTAGAGAAAACAGCTTACACTGCAGTTATACATAAGTGGGTTTCAAAATGTTGGGTTCCATCCCTCAGCAGAACCAGAGAGAATTTCCTCCCTTTGCACGGCTACTTCAGGGGGTTGTAGAAGATTCTGTGTTCTTTGCAGGCTGTATCCAAGAACAGGAAATTGAACACCCAGTTTCTATCCTCCAGTGAGGAGCCACGATGGGGGAGAGGGGTGGAGCAATGAGTGTTGTCCTAACACAGCTTAGCCTACAGGGGAGGAAGCAGGAGAGGGAGAGAAGCAGCTTCCACCGACTAATCTTCTGCCTACAAGCACCCAGATCCCTTATGGACACTGGTTCATGTCCCGGCTGCTCTACTTCTTTTCTGTGACCTGGGAAAGCAGCGGAGGATGACCCAAAGCCTTAGGACCCTGAATCAACATGTGAGACCCAGAAGAGGCTCCTAGCTCCTAGCTTTAGATCAGGTCAGCTCCAGCCATTGTAGCCGTTCTGTCTTTTCTCTCTGTGAATCTGCATTTCCAATAAAAATGAATAAATCTTTTAAAAAATGTTTTTAAAATCCCAAGCTAAACAATATTGAAAAAAATCACAATATTGGGAAAAAAAAAACTGAGGCTGAAGGGGAAGAAATGATACACTCATTGTCAGTGATAGAATTGAAATTTAAACCAAGCCCTCTGGCTTACAAGTCTTTGTGTGCTGCTCCATGCCAGACTGCCCCACAGCACTCACAGTGTATGTATGGTTCAATCAGAAAGTTAGGTGACAAGAGAAGCAGCTGGGGTTTGAAGGTGACCCCCGAGAAGTGGGGCTATGGTGAAGCGTCGTAGGATCCTGATGCAAGAGAACAGGTGCAGGAGAAAGGCCTATTTAAGGATCAGACCCAGGAAGAGGCTGCAGTACCCACAAAACCCCTCACAACAGCAGAACCCCAGAGGTGTCCTCTCCTCTGGGCTGGCCACTGTAGGAAGCACATGCAGGGCAGCCTCTTGTGCTCCCAGCTGTCCCCAGACGTTGGGCTACCCACAGTTCTGCCAACCCTGAAGCGTGAAGCCATGCCAGCTTCCCAGTTCAAAGCCTGTGCCTAGAAAACAGAAGGCAAGAGAAGGAGTGAGTGTGGTCTGTGGTCACCTGCTTGCCCGGAAACTCTCAGATTCACTGGCTGCTCCCCTGGTTTTTTTTTTTTTGACACTTTCCCTTTTGAACAGCAAAGCCCGGAGCAACGTCTTGTATTTTTACTTTCCCTTGGTGATAACTGGTGTGCAACCAGTGCAGCTGGAGGAGAAAAAGAGGCAGTGAATATCTAGCCACAGATTCAAAAGGACTTTACTAGGTAAGCAAAGAACCAAACTCTTGAAACCCCAGACCACAGACTCAGAGCCAATGTGGAGGGTTTTTAGGGGAAACGGTTTTTCAGGCAGCATGGAAGTGAATCTTCCAAGAAGCTTGTTTGTGACTTCACTTGTCATAGGAGAGCCCAGCCTGCCTGATTGCCTGCCTCACGTCACAGGATGCCCTGATGGAGCCAGACTGGATTATGATTTGCAGAATCAACGCTTTGATGATCCCTTTGACAAATTCAATACAAGACCAGGAGGTAAGGAGTCAGGAATTTTGTAGCTGAGGGAAAACACGGCATGTTTGGCATTGTTTGAAGGGAGACTAACAGAGAGGGGCTGTATGGAATCCAAGGTATGGCACCTGTGCCCTCCTCCCGTTCGAGCGGCAGAGTTCTAGGTCCCCTACCTGTTGGAGAGAGGAATTGGGGTGGGAGCCGGAAAATTTCACGAGCCCAGACTCATCATGCAGGCCACATGCAGGATCTGATCAACAGCCAATCCTCTCTGTTCCAGCCCTACTTGGCCTGGGGGCCGTTGGAGTGTCCTGAGACCTGGGACTGGCTAGCGTCCCTATTAGAAAAAGACTACGTACAGCACCAAGAAGAGCAGGATTCCTATAAAGGCTGCAGAGGCAGGAACAGGGAAACCCTTGGAAGCTTTCAGGATCACAGGAGACACACCATGGAGGGAGATTGAGCCAGGTGGGGACAGGAGTGGTGCTAGCTCTGGCATGCAAGTCCACATCTCATTTGTACCTGCTGCTGCCAATGCCCACGTATTGGTTTGCGTTCCCTGATCTGAAAGCTACTATTTTGTCTGTTGACACCTCTTGGCTCCCCGTGATCCAAAGCAGCACCCCTTTAGTGTGGTGGCAGACTGGCACACAGGACGTCCTTGCTAGCCCTTGGTCCTTCACCAAGGGTATCCGAAAGCTGCTGATTTAGCTCAAGATCCCTTTTTTGGGGGGGGAGGGGAGAGGGAGGTGTCAGACAGTATTTCCCACTCACTCAGAAAGGAGTTGGAATGTTACCCTGCTTCAGAAATATTTTCAGCAATGTCCTGGGAGAAGTTAGTCATACCTTGGAGTTTATTCAAACACCGGCCCGGAGTTTATTGGCTGACAAGTGCAACATAAATGATTCCCTGGTCCCTTACCCCACAATCTCCACCTCTTCCTCCCTTGTGGCTAAAGACAAGAATTAGGGTCTTGATGTGTTTGTTACTGGATCGCTGCCTTGCTTGGGTGTGCTCTAGCATAGCTCCTCTGATCACCACCACTGTGCCCATATTGCACAGGACTGCTGGCCAGGGCGGAGGCCCTTTCAAAATGAAGAGGTCAGAATTAGCCTCGAAGTGGGAAGGAGCAGTTGCCATGGTGATTCTATTATAGCATCACTTTATTTATGAATCAAATAAAAAAAATTCTTCAGTCACATCTGTCCACATCTTCCATTTCTTTCGGAGTCAGGACACACAAGAGAGGCTTCAAAGAGTCACCTACTTTTTTGGGGAATAGAAAGGGAAAGTTGATTTGCAATCTGCTGCCATCTCCCCAGGGGTGTACAAATAAGAGGTACAAATTCCCTTGTGCGTGTGTCATGGGAACTAAATACTACTCATCGTTTTCACTCAGGGCTGAAATTGGATATCATTATCCCAGAGATCATTGGGCAGCCATAGGAAAACTCAGTGTCAGGGACTTGGGTTCATTAAGTTTGGGGGATAAGAACACAACTGGATTTCTGGCTCAGGGAGCTGGATTTCAACGGCCTGAGCACGAGGGAGAAGGCCATGGCTAAAATCATCGTACAAGGGACCTTCAAAAAGAAGAATGTGTTCTAGGAATAAACTGCATGCAGATTTCCATATTTTTTTACTTGCAGCGAAATAAGCTTTTCATTCTGTGCATCCAGAAACTGTTTGAGGTATCATTGCATAACTCCCTTGGAGAAAAGGCCCTCATTGGGTTCTATTGCCTCACCTTTCACAGCATCATGTGGCTCTCCTTCAGAGCACTTGCCTTCTTGTCCAGAGCCACTGACCTTCCTGCCACTCTACAACACAGGCTTTTCTCTATATGCCCAGCACCTAGCACAGCCCTTGTTTGTTGAATGAATTAATGCACGCATGAATGAAAAGTCCCAGGGAGTATGAGAAATGGACTTTTAATTTATAGAGACGAAAACAGATCTAGGGAAGTAAAAAGTCACCCAAGGTCATGCCTTAAAGAAATAACAATGGTTTTTGTTACAAAAAAAAAAACTAGAACACAATCATGTATCCCACAGGGAGAAGTCTTGGACAAACCTAAAACATATTGCTTTGACCACATGCTCCACACCTATAGTTCCCAAAGCCAAAAGTCTAGGAGCCACACACCCTGCCCATGGGACCAAGGCATTCACAGGGAGAACTAAGAGCCTTCACAGACTTTCACAATGCTTCAGTAATAGATACTCCTAAGGGTCTCCCCATCCCTCCCTGAAATGCTGTCTTTCTACACTTTCTACACTTCCCTACTCAGAGGAAGCCCGTCTGTCTTGTCACTATGCCTGTTGCCATACTTCATTGCCTATGGTATTTCTGTGGTTTCTGAGCATAAAAAGAAAAATAAATAAATCACTAGTGACCAAAGAGTGGCCCTTGTGTCTTTCTGTTCTGCATATGAGTAGAATGACCACATGGTGAGAGGACCAGACCTCAGGCCTCTGATGGGGCGCCACAGGAAGTGGACTGGGAAGACCTAAGGACCCAACAGAGAAGAATCAAGAAGGGAACATACCAAGGGTGCCGGCATCACAGGAGAAGCTTGGCTGGTTTTCAAACTTCTGGAGCTTCTGGCTAGTCCTTTACCTGTAACCACTCAGAGAAGAAAGGGACACAGTTGTTAGGCCACTTCTTCCATGGCTGAGGTCTGGAGCTAAAGCCCCAGGGCCTGTCCTCTTCCACCCTGACCTTCTCAGGAGACTAGAAAAGTGAACAAAAAGTTTCATTTAAGGCATTAAAGCTGCCTCTCAATGCGTGCTCTGGGGAGGAAGGTGTGACTGCCCTGGGGAGGCCAGTGTGGCTGTCTCAGGATCTCCCCTCTCCCTGTCTACACACACCTCCACTCCCTCTGTCCCCTCTTGCCAAGCCATTGTCACCCTTAAGCTGACTCTACCTCAACCTCTGGGCTGGCTATGTGGGTCTCCAGGTGACCATGCAGTAAAAGCAAGATCATTCTTGGCATCCCCCCGCCACACACACCCTTCCCAGGAAATCTTGCTTTCCAGTCTCTGGTTTGCTCTGGTTTCCGCCTTAATCACCCCCACCCTCTGATGGCCACTCACTCCTTGGATTCCTTTGCCTTCGCCTCCTCTTGGATAGATGGCTGATTATGGAGATGATTCCCAAGCCGGTAATCAGTATGCAGATAATCAGAATGGACATCCTAGAAGGAATCCCAGCACAGCTCACGTCTACCTTCAGGCACAGCCCTTTGGCTCTGCACTGCAGCTCCCTTCTGCATGGACCTGTGCACCACCTGCCCCAGCCCACCTGCCAGCTCCCGTAAGCAAGCCCATCTTCTTGCCATATCTGCCCAAGCTGAGTCACTGAGCGTCTTCCTCAGGAGCTAACTGGACTGGGTGGAGGAGGGCATGCCACACAGATGGACAACAGATCAGGACTTTGTCCTGATCACTGCTGGTGGGGGCCACACATCCCAGCCCCCACAGTAGAAATACTGCTGCAAAGGAATGTCTTTGCTGTTGGCCTCCAAAAGTCTAAACTATACCAGAGTGTTTCAAAAAGCTCACAGGATTTAAAAAAAAAGAACACCAATAGTACAAAGAGCCTTTGAAATCAATGCACAGAATCCTCATAACACACCATTCGCATGAGCTTTTTGAAAACCCTGCATGTTCTTTTGAAAGCCACCAATCACCAGAAGATACACTGTTCAGGTGAGGAGCGCAATATTGCTGCCCCAAAGTAGCAGGTGCATAGTATAGTTGGTGTGTACCACATGGTTTGTGCCTGCCCTCAAGACTGCAACTTACCTGGAACGATCTGTCTTTTGGACAATTTTGGAGGTCCTGCAGCTTTGGTTCTTGTTGCTGGACAGGCCTGAAAGGGAAAAGATTTGTTGAGAGGAAGGTCCTCCCTTGAGTCCTTCCTTTAGCTTTTCACTGTGTATCTACTGTCATCCTCCAAGTCTCCAGAGAGCCAGGGTCTTGCTTCTCTTCTGGCTAAAGCAGAGGCACTGAGCACACCTAGCTAAATATACCCTGCACAGGGAACGAGGTCATGGGAACAGGTAAGGAATGCAATGGCACCTGTGCACCTGGTCATGCCACTGGGCTCCCCACAGCTGGAGAAAGCAGCATCTTCTCCAGATTTGCACAGGGGCCACATAGGCTGGAGGGGCCCAGCAAGGGGTGGTCCCTGAGACACCAGCAGGCCAAACATCTCCTTAAGGACCTGGATAATAGATGATGTAATTGCCACCCAGTGCCTCTGATGGCTGAAGTCCTGCACCCTTACCACATGGCCTCCTTTGCTAAAGCCTGGAAGGGTTCCATGTCTCACGTAAACTAAGGTACACATTACATGGGGCTTGCCTCGTCCTGGGCCTGAAACTCAGGATACACCTTGCAGCTAAGTAGAAACAGAAGCAAGCAAGTAAAAGACTTGTGTGTGGGAAACATGTTGCACACTCTTTAAGTTGTTCACTGAATCAGCTCCCCTTAGGTCAAGTGTGAGCCAGCGGGCTGGGGAACGGGTATCCCATGGCTCCCCTTAAAAATCCTTCTGTTTGTTTTCCTCCTGGCACTGTGCTCTGTGTTGGTAGAAAAGGGCATTCTTTCCAGCAAGGGCATGAATGAGAAGACATAGCAGAAAGAGAGACAGAGACAGAGACAGAGTCAGAGACAGAGAGACAGAGAAGCCAGTGCCTTGCATCAGCTGTCAGAAAACACCTGACAATCCCATTTCTTGGCCAAAAGTCACAATTTCCTGGCTTGGACAGGCTTCTCCCTGTGGCCTCCAGGTGTGACTGCAATGCTTACAAGTAAAATAGAGTTCTGACTAGCCTGCCCATGGCAGGAATCCTTCTAAATGTGTATGCATGCAGATTCTTTAAGATGACAGTTCTGGAGACCAACATATTGACTCAACTGAATTACCCTCCACTTCTAAGAATGGCATCCTCATATGAGTGTCGCTTTGTGTTTTAGCTGCTCCACTTCCCATCCAACTCCCTGCTTATGGGCTGGGAAAGCAGCAGAAGATGGTCCAGATGCTTGGGACCCTGCACCCACATGGAAGACCATGAAGATCCCGGTTCCTAGCTTTGGATTGGCTCAGCTCTGACCATCGTGGTCATTTGAAGAATAACCAGAGGAAGGAAGTTCTCTCTGTCTCTCCTCTCTCCAAATGTGCTTTTCCAATAAAAATAAATAATATTTTTTAAAGGGTTATAAAAAAAAAAAGATGATAGCTTTCAGGTGCTGAGTCGGCTCTAGCGGCTTTGTTAATCTCTCAAGCAAAGCAGTCTTGGAGGTTCCTGCCCCAAGCTACCCCCAGTGCACAGGGATTTCACAGTAATCCTGAAGCCTTTCTTGGGCATCTACACAAGGATCTCCCTTCTTACCAGACCCAATGGCTCCTTCCAAGGTCCATAGACTAAAGGGTACACCAGGGCCCAGACACCCTCCTCCTACCTGCCAACTTCCTGTTCATCCCCTGTAACAAACAACCATGCTGCCTTGGGGACACAAAGAACCCAGAATTCCGGTCAGCCACAACCTCCGACACTATGCACATTCCTTTGACAACCAACTGCCTTACCTGTCCCAGGCCACACATCCCCAGTGAGGGCTGCCCTATTGTCTTTCACAATCAGCTCGGTGAAATCCATCTCGTCCCTGGCAAAGTCCCGCTGGATGCCACACCAGTACCACCCCGTGTCCTCCTTGGTCAGGCAGGACACAGTGATGATGAATTGGCTTCCTGTGTCCCTCAGGGCCACGCGATCAGTGCTGTTGGGGGTGAAAGCGATGATGTTGCAATAGTTCCGGAAGTAGCCTCGGCACCAGTATTTGGGGTGGTCCTTGTAGTATGTGTTATAGTTGCATGTGGCAGAAGTCGTGTCCATCACAAAGCTCTCCTTGACCTTTTGGTCCATAACTATGGCCTCTGGGGAAACACATGCAGACACACATGGCTTCACACATATAGCACTGACCCACGCTGTGACATAACGGGTAAAGCCCCAGCCTATGACATCAGTATCCCACATGGGCACCAGTTTGAATCTTGGCTGCTTCACTTTCCAACCAAGCTCCCTGTTAGTTTGCCTTGAAGATATGTGCTTGGGCCCTGTATCCACATGGGAGACCTAGATGAAGTTCCTGGTTCTGGGCTTTGTCCTGGGCCTACCCCTGACCATTGCAGCCCTTTGGGACTTGAACCAGTGGACGGCAAAATCTCTCTCTTTCCTTCTGTAACTGCCTTTCAAATAATAAATAAATAAATAAATATTTTTTAAAAATAAAAATACAAAACACTGCAGCCCCAGAAGGATAATAATCCAAGAATTGGGAGCCAGTTTTTGCCTGTTTGGTACTGGCTGAATCTGTCCTCCCCCCCTATTCCTATGCTGAAGTCCTAACCCCCCAATATTTCAGCATGAGAGAGTATTTGGTCCTATGAGGGTCTTTGAGGTGGTCCTCCACTTACTAGAGCTAACATCTTCACATGAAGAAAAGAGCTTTGGATTAACACAGGGCATGGCTATATGCCAGCTGAGAGGAGAGGTGTCATCATGAACTCAACCTCCTGACACCTTCTTCTTGAACTTCCGGCCTCTGTAGCTATTTGGAGGTGAATCCCCATCATTGAGGTGACCACACTGCGATGTTTTGTTCCGTCAGTCCCAGCAAACTGGCACAGTGCTTCTGGAGGGTCTTCTGTCTGGGTCTAAGGGAGGGTGCAGGACATGCCCCCTGCCCTCCAGATGATGTTCTAGGATCCTGGTTTCAGCCTGACCCCAGCCTCAGGTGTTGCAGACATTTGGAGAGTGAACCAGTGGATTGAAGATCTCTCTCTTTCTCTCTCTCTCTCTCTCTGTCTCTGTAATTTTGCCTTTCAAATAAATAGACAGACCTTTTTTGAAAATATGGAAAAGTGAATTAAAGGACAAGTTGATTTTTGATGTAAAAAATGTTGGCTTCATGAATTTTTGAAGAGCTCTCATTTCTGCATAATTGCTTTAAAAAATACTTGAAAGTCAGAATTACAGAGAGGAGAGAGAGAGACAATGAAAGGAATCTTCTTTTTGCTAGTTAACTCTGCAAATGGCTGCTATGGCCAGAGTTGGGTGGGTCCACAGCTGAGAGCCAGGAGCTTCTTCCAGCTCTCCCATGTGGATGCAGCTCAAGGCCTTGGGATATCCTCCACTACTTTCGTAGGCACATTTATGGAGAACAGGATAGAAAGTGGGGTAGTCGGAACATGAACTGAATCTCACATGAGATGTTAGTACCACAGGTGGAAGTGGCACTGCATAACTGTTTTTGAGGGAAGTAGGGCAAGGCCAGTACAGAGCCCTTGTCTTAACCATGGGTCCCCACAACCTCTACAACCATAGCATGGAACTAGGATTGATATGGACAAGACCTTTGAGTATTTTCAGCTCCCTTTATTCTGTCCAGCTCCTAGGTGGCCCATGTTAAGAAACAAGGACTTCCACTAGGACAGGAGGAGCGAATTCAAGGTGCCTGGGAAGACCGCAAGTGTGAAGGGCTGCAGACACTCGCTCCCCGCATCTTACCTGACATGACAGCCAAGGAGAACAGAACGAAGATCCTCATGACGGGAAAGAAGTGGACCTTCAGCCAGAAGCACAGAGTGTGCCCTGGCACCTCAGGAATCCTGTTTCTGTGCAAGGACAATGGGCATGTGTGAGCCTGGAAGGATTTTCTCCTGCTTGGAGAGACCCACTGAGAGGAAGAAGAGCCAGTTACTTCAAGTGAAACTGCCATGTAGAGGGTCCCAGATTGTGTGCTACAAAAGGGTATCTCAAAGGAGAGGGATTGCATCTTGGACACAAACAACTGAGAAAATCCCAAAAGCAGAGGCGAACCCCCAGTTCTGGATAAATCCGCCATAGCATAGAAGGCTCAGAAGAGCACACCCCATCATGTGCATGCATTTACCCTGTTCTACCAATGATCCTGGGATGATCAGAAACAACTCCTCCTGCCTGGAGCTCCTGGAGTTCAGGTCCTGTTAAGCCAAGAAGAACCTCAGGATGGAGATTTCTAACCAACGTGATTCCCTGAGTACATGGCAGCCTCACTTGGGGAATGTGACCAAGGCCTGGAATGTGCCAGATGCTGGTGGTACAGAGGGGTCTGGAATCTGGAGCAGGTGAGCAGGCAAGTGTGAGGGCAGAGCTGTGATAAATAAGGCCAGATGTTCACATAGTACCTGCAGCTGCTGCTGTTTTTCATTCCCAATAGAACCCACATACTCTGATCCCGGGGTTGAAGTATTACACTTAAGTCAGGTGCTATTTATCACAACTCAAAACTCTCACAGCCTGCCTGGGGCCAGAAGCTGATGGTCACACCCAGGTTGTTTCTTCTCTCCAGGAAGGAAAACCTTGCTCCAACTGATGCAAAGTCAGCATACAGGACAACAACAGGCCTGTACCAGGATGTTTTTATACTATACCTCTTTTCACCCCCACACAACAAAAACTTCTATGAACTCAAAAATGCAATTGCATGGGAAAGTGAAGGAGAAAGGAAGGAATCTAGAGATTAGAAGGAGTTAAGGAACATATTGATAAACTGCAATAAATGGCAATGATTTCCTGACTGAAAACAATGATTCAGAAAATTCGGACAGTGACTATGTATCTGAGGAATCATGATTAAACCTTACTCAGAAATTATTTTTACGTTATATTTTAGATAGATAATGTTATCATAGCAACTAATGTGTCAGCCTGTTTCCGCCTGGAAGTTACACAATGGCACAGACTAAGTAAGTTATTAGAATAATAGGTTTATGTTGGCTTATGGTCCTAGTCCATAGTCAGTGGCTGCCTCTGCTGATGGCCTCACTGGCTGTCTCACAGCATTACACGGTGCAAGACACAGTTGTGTGTGTGTCCTGGTCTTGCTCCTTCTTAGAAAGCCACCAAGGTCTCCCTTCTGATGACTTTGCCTACTCTTCATTGTTTCTCTAATACCTTTGTTACACCATTGTTGGGCTGGTTTTCACCGACTTCCTATCTCACCATGGGGATTAAACTCCAGCATGAGCTTCAGAAGATACAAATCATACTGAAACCACAGCATCCAGGGAGCTAGGATGTCCCTGTCTCACACGGTTTCCCTCCCAGCTCCAGCGCTGACTCCAGGTCCCTGCTCTTTGTAGACCCTGGGAAGCAGCAGATGGCTCAAAAAGTTGGTTCCTTGCCTACCTCCGTGGGAGACTTGGATTAAAAGTTCCTGGTTCCCAGCTCTGGTTCTGGTCCTGTACTAGCAGTTGGGGGTTTGAGGGGAGGGAAACAGAGGGAATTTCTGTATCTCTGAAATAAATAGACTTGTTGTTTAATCTTAGCGGCAGGCTCCTTGTGTTCACATCCTTATGTAACATCTTCTCCCAGACCAAGCAGGGCTGTCCTGTGTGATCAACAACACACAGCAGGGATGACCCTGTGTGACTTCAGAGGCCAGGTCACAGAAGGCACCCAACCACCTCTCCCCAGGTCTCCATCCCTGCTGGGGGTGCTCAGGCAGGCTCACCTGCAGAGCAAGCTATGTGCCAGTATCAGTTCACCATACAGGCACAGGAGAGCCCCTTGAGGAGGTGACACTTGGACCACAGTTAAGCCTTCTGAGGACTGTGGATGCAGCCACCTCAAAAGACATCATGGGGCCCGGCGCGGTGGCGCAAGTGGTTAAAGGTCCTCGCCTTGCACGCCCGGGATCCCATATGGGCGCCGGTTCTAATCCTGGCAGCCCCGCTTCCCTTCCAGCTCCCTGCCTGTGGCCCGGGAAAGCAGTGGAGGACGGCCCAAGCTTTGGGACCCTGCACCCATGTGGGAGACCCGGAAGAGTCTCCTGGCTTCGGATCAGCATAGTATCGGCCCGTTGCGCTCACTTGGGGAGTGAATCATCGGACGGAAGATCTTCCTCTCAGTCTCTCCTCTCTGTATATCCGCCTTTCCAATGAAAAAATAATAAAAATAAATCTTTAAAAAAAAAAAAAAAAAAAAAAGACATCATGAGAATGGATCACTCAGCCAAGACACCCTTGGGCTCCTGTCCTACAGAAACCATAGGCGTTACTGTTGTAGGCCCCTACACTTGCAGGTGATTTGCTAACAGGGTAGTGGATAATTAGTGTTTTAAATCCTTAACCCTGATAAGGCCACAGGCAAAATGAACAGAGCTCTTTGCTCAGAGACTGCATCGTGAAACCAAAGGAAATGCCAAGAAAAAGAGAGAAGCATTGTGCAGATTGATGCTGGAAACCTGCCCACAACAAAAGTAGAATTCTAGAATCAGTGGAAGGTCAGTGCTACAAGTGGTGGACCTTGTGGCTGCCAGCATAACAAGTGTTACATGGCACTATTGCATTGCTCCCTCTTAAGGGTACAATGAACTTTTCCTTTATAAGTATATATTTAGGACTAAGAATAAAGCAGATAATACTTTGTAAAATGCCTGTTAAAAGTGTAGACCAGAGTGTTTACAGCTGAAATGCTGGATTCCAGAATTTTAAGATAATTAAAGTGGAATAAGGGATGTGGACACACATAAAACCAGGTTGGCTATAAGTTGATGATCTTTAGAGCAGGATGATAGACATGTGAGGGCTCATTTTTCTGGTCATGCCACACTTAGTTTAACAAAAGGAAAGGGCTGACATGGTAGCGTAGTGGGGTAAGCTGCCACAGGTGAGTACTGCTTGTGAGGCCAGCAGCCCATATGGTAGTTTAGTTTAAGTTCCAGTTGTTTTGCTTCTGGTCCAACACCTGCTAAAGCACCTGATAAAGCTGCCCATCACAGCCCAAGTGCTTGGGTCTTAGTTGTACATGTGGGACACCAAACTGGAATTCTCCACTCTTGACTTTGACTTTCACCTGGCTCAGCCCCAGCCAATTGTGGCCATTTGGGGAGTGAGCCAGCAAATGGAAGAGCTCGCTCTCTCTCTCTTTCAAATAAATAAACCTTTAAAAAAGAAGAAAACAAAACAACTTTGAGATGGGTATTATTACTTGCACCTTACAGACAAGGAAAATTGAGACCAAAGATTTAAGTCATTTGTCCCAAGTTTGAACGGTTTTTATTTTTATTGGAAAAGAGAGTTTTACAGAGGAGAGGCAAAAATCTTCCACCCATTGGTCCATGCCCTAAGTGGCCACAATGGCCAGAGCTAAGCTGATCCAAAGCCAGGTGCCAGGAGCTTCTTCCAGGTCTCTCATGTGGGTGCAGGGTCCCAAATCCTTGGGCCAGCCTCTACAGCTTTCCCAGTCCATAAGCAGGGAGCTGGATGGGAAGCAGAGCAGCCAGGACATGGGATGTCAGCACTTGCAAGTGGAGGATGAGCCAGTTGAGCCATTGTGCTAGCCTCAACTTGCCCAAGTCTATACAGCTACCAGGGCCACTGTGACAGACACTAACTTAAGCACAGGTGGTAGATTTGGGGGGAAAGACTTTTCCCTCACACTAGAGAATCTCCTCAATCGTAATACTACAGTGGGGTGCCTCTCCCTCTCTCATTTCCAGAGACACCCCATGTCTGAAAAAAAAATATATATATATATAGTAATACTACTGTGACATTGTAATGCACTCCAGAATTTACAGAAAGACTTTTTCTGAAAACTGGGAGCAAGACACAACTCAATTTTCTTCTTTGCATTATACTCAGCTACAGTATCTAAGGGCCAACTCTCTCTCTCTCTGAAAGATATGCAGTTCGATGCAAGACTGGAATTACATATGAACAATGGACAGATTTTATAGAAAATGAATTCTGACCCACAGTCCACAGCAGCCTGCCAATCACAGTAAACAGGCCTGTGGTCAGACTTGCAGGAAGTCGGAGAATCCCCAGTAACAGCACAGGAAACCAAACAAGAAGTCCTGTGATGATCAGCTCCAGATCATCAGGACTTGATGAACAAGCAGGTGTTTGAGATAAAGATACCCATGTCCAACGTGGGCGTACCTGGGTTCCAGTACCCCATGCAGCTCCTGACTCCAGCTTCCCACCATGCTTACCCTGACAGAGTGAAGGTGATAGTTCAAATGCTTGGGAGCCTGCTTACATGGTGGAGATGGAGTTCCCGAATCCTAGCTTCAGCCAGACCCAGTCCTGTCTGTGATAGGTGCTTGAAAACACCCATGTCTCTCTGCCTCTCAAATCAAACTAAGAAAATGTAACTGGAACATTCTGCAGTGCTACCACAGAACTGTACTTAGGAAACCAGGGGCTGAGATAGCTCCAGCCCTCAGCTTCCTTTGGAAGCAAACAAGCCCAACTCCATAAACAGTGAAATGAAACTTGGACTTAATCAACTAGAAACTGCCAAATTAGCTTTTTCATTACAGACTTTCCGCTTTGGCTTTGCTTCCTGTCTGGCTTCCATTAATACCTTCTAAAAGTTTCAGAATGGCATTGTGACATAACAGGTAGCACTACCACCTGCAACTCCACCATTCCATATGAACACCGGTCCGTGTGTCCTGGCTGCTCTGCTTCCGATTCAGCTTGCTACTAATGCATCTGATAAAGGCAGTGAAAGACACTGAAAGATGGTCCAAATGCTTGGGTCCCTGTTACCTACATGGGAGAAGACCTGAATGAAGCTCCTAGTTTAAGCTTGGCTGAGTCCTGGCCATTGCAGACACTTGGAGAGTAAACGAGCAAATGGAAGATCTCTCACTCTGTCTCTCTGACCCTTTCAAATAAATAAACCTTAAGAAAAAAAGATCAACTCCCACCCAGGACACTCTTTCAGTGGAGTGCTAAACAACTTGCAGTTGGGGCTGCCCAATTTACAAACTTGTGAGGGATCACATAAACTCATGAAGAAGTTCCTGTTCCTTGGCTGTTCTCCAAACACTGCTCTAAGGCCTTCCTGCTACTGTGCCGGCTTTGGGGTCCCTGCTGGCACAGCAGAGTGACTAGCCGACTCCCTTGCTACAGCAAGTCCAGAATCAATGGCCTTTGTTTATTTCCACAATTGATTTCATTTAAAAAAAAAATCAACAAGGTCAACAAACCCAGTTATTCAGTGTGTACTTCTGTTCCAACTCAACTCCCATGGAGGGGGAGGAAGCATGTCTGGGTTTCATCTGAGCAGTCTCCTCCTAACTCCTTTAGTGTTAAAGCCCAGCCACCCATACCCCTGGTCTGAAAGGGAGCCAGCCAGCCTGGAGGCTCCAGGGAAAGAGTCCTGGTACACTGAGCTTTATAACCTGAAAGTAGAGAGAAGGAATTTTATCAGGATTCCTTCCTCAACAGGAACAACACTAAAGCCCAACTCTTTGCAAACCCTCAGCGCACTAGCTAAGAAGTGGCAATCAGACAAAAACCAAATGAACAAACAAATAAACAATCCTGATACCCAGAATCCACAGTGCATCTGCTGACACCAAAGGGCCCAAGACACAGGCTTGCTTTGTTGGAAGGGAGGGGTCCTTCTATATCAAGTTTCTGCAAAGGTGAGAGGCTAAGGATGGCTACAGTGAGGAGGCTAGGAATCATCCTTTGTAAATAAAGAAGCAGCACTGGAATGAAGACCTGCGGGGCACTGAGCTCCACAGTGCTTCCTCTGCTCTGGTCCTCAAGAGGCAGTTTAATTAAAACCAACATCTAGTAAGCGGGAGAGCCTAGAATTCTGCCGTTCTTCTGGGCAGATAGAAAGAGAAACACAGCATCCTTGGCTGAAGTGAAGTGTTGGCAAGGTAAATTCTGTTATCTGATACAGACCTGAGATTTGACATAGGATAACTTTCAGGACAAGCTAGGAAATTAATTTCATCTCTGGTTACTCTTCTCTTCTTGGACACAGCTAAACGGAAACCTTCATCCTGCTGCTCTTGCTAAGTCAACGTCTTTTTGTGGGTGTGAGAATCCACAGGTGCATGTCTGCACTCAACCTGAGATGCCATCTTGAGTCACTGGAGCCTCGCTGAGTGCTGCCAAGTGTCCTGGGCAAATAGCAGCCAAGGCAAAATCCCAGCAATCTGGGACTGGCACCATGGTATACCAGGCTAAGCCTCTGCCTGCCACACTGGCATCCCATATAGACACTGGCTCAAACCCCAGCTACTCCATTTCAAAATCCAGCTTCCTGATAACAGCCTGGGAAAGCAGCAGAAGATGGACCAAGTGCTTGGGCACCTGCACCCACATGTTAGACTACAAGAAACTCCTAGCTCCCAGCTTCAGACCAGCCTAGCCTTGGTTGTTATGTCCATGTGGGGAGTGAAACAGCAGATGGAAGATCTCTTTGTCTCTTTTTGTGTTTCCTTCTCTCTGTGTAACTCTTCCTTTCAAATAATAAATCTTTAAAAAAAAAATCTTGGCAGTCTTCAAACATTCTAACCAGTGTGCATCCATCTGTCATTTGTACACAAGGAATGCTTGAGGATTTGGATTTGGAAGTTAACAGCACCTCTGGGTATCTGAGAACAGGTCAGTGAGAAGCTTAGGCTGTGCTGAAATCCTACCACTGGTGAATGGCACAGCTATAGAAAGATGCCTCACTGCCCTGAGCCCTGGTTTTTCCTTCAGCCATTTGGGGATAACACTCATGGTGGCAGCTACCTCACCAAATGCCAAGATGGAAATAGATCAGACATGCCAAGTGCTCAGTGCATAGAAAGTAAGTGCTCAACAGATTGCAGATGCTCTGTCATCTCTGCCCTGTACCCATTGCCCCTGGACTCCTACTCCAACAACAGATGGATGGTTCAGAGAGTTGACAGATGCTTTCATCAGCCCAGCAATAAGGTGAGCATGCCACCTGGCTCCAGGCAGCAAGCAGACCGAGAACCAACAACAGACAGCTGTCTTCAAGTCCCGACTGATCCCAACAAAGAGCCACACCGCAGTTAGATGTCATCTTTTATTCACCCAAATACATCCTCCTGGAAAGCTCAGCAGTTTAAATTTCCCCTGAACTTGGCTCACTCCTTCTGTTCCCTCATCTCTTTGGCGTCTTCTGAAAGTATTTTCATTGCTGAAACCGAGTCCATCACCATACACACGCCCAGCAGACTGGGCTTTTTGTCTATGTTTGAGAAGAAGGGAAACAGGCAACAGTATCAATAGGACACTGTCCTCAAGTTGGGCCTCTGGAGACTTCGAGGAGGATGAGAAAGAACAGATTTGAAATGGACGTAAAAGTTACAGATAACCAACCAACCATTCCCCACCTCGGTGGAAAGAATCCAAGGCAGTAAAAAGCACACAGCCTCAGATGAGTAGGCTCTCGGTGTTCTATTGATGTCCAACTTGGAGGCTGGTGAGAGCAGCAGTCATCTTCCCTGGGTAGCTACTTAGAATTCTGCATGATGTTTGGGTCCAGGGGGTCAGAAGACTGGCAGGTTACCCAGGATTTGAGGATCAAGAGGTAGCTTTCCTTAAACTTCTGTATTTTGCAAGCATAGATGATAGGATTCATCATGGAGTTACTGTGGGACAGCAGGATGCAGATATACAGCACAAAGTCTGGTACTGCACTGTTGAAGTAGGTGACAGAGTTGATGATGGATAAAGGCAGCCAGAACACAGCAAACAAGAACAGAACCAGAAATAGGGACATGGCAGTCTTGAATTCCCGTCCATAAAATGCCCCCATCTCCTTGGAGCTAGAAGAGTTCTGACACAGTTTGTTCCGGATGATACAAAAGATGTTAATATAGATGGCGCACATGACAAGCAGGGGGATAAAAACGCAGATGAGGAAATTAAAGTAGAACATGTAGTCCATACTTATAACAGACGTGAACGTGCAGGTGAAGGCGGTACCATTGCTGGAGTAATCTGGGCTCAGCTTCATATTCCAGCCAAACACGGGGATGAGTCCCACCAGGAAGGACAGCAGCCAGCAAAGGCTCAGGGCCAGCCATATTTTTCCTTGAGTGATGACCCTCCTGTATCTGTTTGGGAAAAAGCCAGTGAGTCCACACTAGGAATTGCTAAGTGGGGGTAGATGGAGCTCCCAGCTAAGAGAGGGCAGAGGAAGGAGAGAGGGGAAAGACATAAAGCCCACGTGTTCTCAGTCCCCCAATCTCCTCTGAAGAGAGGAGTGTGCGGCTGCTCTGCAGTGATCCCATCTAAACTCAACTGGATGCAAAGATGCACCGACAGTGATCACCACACACACACATGCCTAGCAAACCTCTTTGGGAACTTGCCAAAAAAAAAAAACAGCAATCTAGACTAGATCAAGAATACACTTCCCAGTCCGCAGTTACCCGCCCTACTCAGGGGTTCATTCCCAGACCAAGAATCCTCCAATGTTTGAGACATGAGATTTCTCTAAACCTCATGGGGTCCTCGACACCAACCCTAGAGCCTACATGCACCACCTTGTTCTGATGGCCATGCAGGTGCTCCTGACCTACTGTCCCACTCTGCCTGTGCCTGTTCCTGGTCTCTATTTGCCCTGGCATCCATACTCCAGTGAGTTCAGTGAACCCAATGGAGTCATAAAGGTGTTTCAGTTCTTCGGAGATGTTTAAAGCCTCATCTAGTGAGAAAAGCATTATGTCTCCTTTAATCATCTCCTGCAACAACTGACATAGACTGCAAGAAGGGAATTAATGCTGTTACATGCTGGCCACATACTCTGTGGCTTATATCTAAATAAATCTCTGGGAAAAAAAAACCTAGAAGGCATTGGTGAAAATGTGTGCCTTTTTTTTTTTTTCAAAAAGATTCATATGTGTCGATTCAGTTAATCCTATGGGGAAGGCACACTTGGGTATCCCACTTCATAGTTGAAAAAAAAAAATGAAGTGCAGACAAGGCACTGTTACAAGCTGCAATTGATGGAGCAAACACCAAAAAGAGGCAGGTCTGAGTTCAGAGCATCCTTACACAGAAATGAGTAAACTGAAGCAGGGAAAGAACAATACCTTTTCCAAACTCAGCTCTAACAATCAGGGATCCAAACTCGGTCTTGTTTATATTATAAGCTTGTCTGTAACTTCCTCACCATGCCCTTTTCCCAACAGGAGGGCCAAAACATGAGACCAATGCGACCCAGGAAAGCTGGGCAGTCCAATTTCTGCACCTGGTCTTCTGCTGTCTTCACAGAGTTACCGGGAAGATGGGCTCTCCATGAAGCAATAGAGAATGCGTCTGGAGCAAAAGATCCCATAGCTCACAACAAGAAGAAAGAGGACACACAAAGAAGCTTCAGAAAGTTCATCTTTTTAAAAATTGAATGAAAAGATGACATAGGGTGAGCATTAGGCTCAGCAGTTCAGACACTGCCTGGGAGACCCACATCTCAGAGCAGAGGACCTGGGTTGGAGTCATGGCTCTGTTCCCATTGCAGCTTCCTGCCAATGCATACCCTGAGCACAGCAAGTCAGGACTCTGAGTCCTGAGAACTCCTTCATAGACCATGTGGCACAAAGACATCTGCAGTCTTCTTTCCACTTCAAGGATCAATTTGGATTCACTACCACCCCAAAAGTTGGACATTGGAACACGACAGACTCATTTCTTGGGTGCCCCCCATTACTTTCCCCTCTTTGAGCAGGTTACCTGACAGTGAGCTTGACCCGCAGCCACCGGTCCACAGCGATGGCCAGCAAGGACATGATGGAGGCTTGGGTGAAGATGAGCAGCAGGCAGCATATGAAAAGGCAGCTGTCGAAGCGGATGGTAATGCCCAGGCTGACGACAATGGCCAAAGGCATGACCAGCAGCCCGACTGCCATGTCAGCCAGGGCCAGGGAGACAATAAAATAGAAGGTGGTGGTCTTCATGCTGGGGTTGATCTTGACCACCCAGATGACCAACAAGTTGCCTACTACAGCACATAGCCCAATTAGAATCTCCACAATGATGTAGGCAATTTTGATGAATATCAGGGTAGTGCCGTTGTTGGACATCTTGCCTTGGCAGAGGAGTCTCCACGTTAACAGGTGTCAGCAGGATCTGACCGGGCCAGTGGACCTACTTCTCACTGGACCTCTTCCCAGAGGTCCGCAAGCAGCAAGTCTAAAAACTCACGGCATGTTCATTCTTTCTCTTCTTCAATGAATCCATCTCTTAGAGACCCATAAGACAGGGCCCGTTGCAGGATGATCGCAACCAGCCTTTTATAAGCCACACGTTCCCGGGAACCAGAGCAGAGCCCTATGTGGGCTGAATCGGAAAGGGCAGTTACACTTAGTTCCCCAGACAACCACAGTCAAAGCCCAGGCCTCCATCTGCCCCCAGAGGGTTATGTGAACACCATGAAGATAAGCAGACCTTTGGCAGAGGAAGTGAGATGGGCCAAGAGGAAGTACAGAGCCACGGACTGTTAGCAAAGGTTGGAAAGAGCTCGGAGGGTTAACATGAGAGGCACGGGGAAACTCAAGATGAGACTGCATATCAGAATGCATTCATTCAGAGACCTGATGAGACTGTAACGATGGGGGCAGGGAGAGGTCAAAGTGCCGACTACATAATATTCCAGCCTTCTACTGGCTTTAAGAGACAGGGCCCATGATACAGAAGCAAATGAAAGAAGCTGAGGCAAGCAGTGGATTTTTATGACAGCTCCCTGATCAAGTGGACTATGAGGAGGGACTCTTTGCTGGACACAGCCATTATGCTACAGATTCTTGGTCAGAGGATGAGCCGACGGCCTGCTTGGAGGAGCACCTGCTGAGGCATCATCTCTGCTGGCCATATTGTCGGCACCATCCCATAGCCTCACATTAGCAAACTCTTTGAGGAACAACAGGACAATGGGACAGCCAGTCATGAAGAAAGGAGGGAAAAGATCCCATGGCATGCATACCTTGCCACATCTACTCACCAAACCCCAACTCCAACCCCATCCCGTAGGAACAGGAGTCTTTCTGGAGCTCATTTTCACTTGCCCACCAATTTCTGGGAACCAGTCACTTGAATACAATTGCTTCTGAGAGGAGAAGGCAGACACCTGGTTTGGGTGCTCCTTAATACAGGCGTGTTGCAGAAATTAGGAGAAAGGATGCTTGAACCTCAACCCACAGAGTGCACTGAAGCATTTGTGATTTTTTACCCCAAGCACCTACATATGCATGCTCAATAATACAAATCACCCTAAATACAATGTGGTCCAGCACGGGCTGGCAGACACTTGTCAGCAGGGCATTGGTAACATGGCTTGGCCTGAGGCCTGCCAAATGCTCCCTCTGCAGGTGCTTTGCTTCTGTATCACCCATTGATCCCCTTGGTGGGTCTCGAGGGGCTCCAAGTCTGACCACCTCCTATGCTTATCCCTCTGGCATTTGGCAGTTCTTTCAGACATTGTCTGAGGGATGGTCCCCTCTGGTGGAACCTCCATAGTTCCAGCACTTTGCAGCATCAGCTGTGCCCACCTCCCTCTACCGCCAGAGCCTGCAAGCCTGCGTCAGCCTCCAGTGTGGCCTCTGGGAGATAGTGTTTACTGTAACTACCATTGTTATCTCTGCTTGACAAGCGGAAGTTCACAACAAAAAGTACCCAAGTGACGGAGGCCTCACGGAAACCCTTTCTCAGTACAAATCCATCTTCAAATCTCACTTCATCATGGTCAGAAATTTCCTGTCCATCCTCCAGCCACCTGGCAGTACCAAAAATCCTTATGTAGGAGAAGGACCCTCCTGGGCAGAGGGGCAAGTCCCATTGCTTGGACTGTGGTGGCTGAACAGCCACGGTGGGTATCATTGGTCACCATCGCCAGGCCTGCCCCTTGTAGCTCAGCCTATGTGGGGTCAGAGATGGACAGTGTGAGCCTGGTGGCCAACCTGGAGCCCAGGTTGCTTGCTCTGCACCTCAGGAGAGCTGGATGGACAACAGGTGGCGCCTGCATTAGGAAAAGGAATTGATGGGGCTCATGCATGGTGATGGCCCAGAAACCAGGCCAGGAGCAGCAGATACAGACCCTGGACAGGGCGCTGATGGTGTTAGGGAAAGGGCTGATGCTGGTCTGTGCTTCCTAGGGTGTTTGCTGGGTCCCTTGATAAGTTCTTGTAGGACTGGCTGTTTCAGCTGGGCTAGAGAAACCAAGCAGAGATGCTACAGACATGATAACTGTGGGGAGAGGAGAAACAGAGGGCATAGCTGGGCCACCAACAAAGCCACTTCTTCCCACCTAGGAATTCTGTTTCCAGAATTCTACACACACACACACACACACACACACACACACACACACACACACACCCTCAGGGATCTGTGAACCAGGTGGCTCCTCCCTTCTGTGTTTCCTGGACAAACAGGAGTCCATCAGTGCCCAGAATGACTCAAAAAAGGAAGACAGACACTTGCAAAGATCCAGGCAGCCGTTGGCCTGGGGATGAGCTCTGAGTGTCCCTTTGTTGCTCTAAATTGGAAACTGAAAAGTGAACTGGAGTCAGCACAGCCCTTTAAGCCACTGCTTGCAATGCCAGTATCCGCTAATGAGACTGCTGGTTTGGATCCCGGCTATTCCACTTGTAATGCAGCTCCCTGCTAATGTACTTGAGGAGGCAATGGAAGCTGGCCCAAGTGCTTGAGTCCCTGTAACCCACACGGTTCCTGGATTCAGCATGGCAGTGTATGAAATCTGTCTCTCTCCCTCTCTCTGATTACTCTGATTTCAAATAAATAAATGATACATATATATTTCACATATTTTAAAATATATATTACTATATATTATATTTAATATATTTTAATATGTATTTTATATTTCTATTTTTTTTTAATGAGAACCAAAAGCTAATATGGGAAACAGGATAGGTCAGAGTACATGCCCACAGGCAAGCATGGTTGAGATAACGTCCTTCACTCCGTCACTTCTGCGAAGGCTTCTAAGCTGTCTGACCTGGGTGACAGCAGAGAAACACTATCACAGGACACCATCACCCCCGCCTTAAAAGCCACTGTGCTTCTGTGCTGCCTTGGGATCAAGTCCAACTCCCTGGAATGACATCCTCCTCCACATTGGGGTCTCCTGGCTTCTGTAGACCCCTGGCCACCTGCTGTCTGCCCCCAGCATGAACCACACTCCCAACCTCCCTACACACACACACAAAGGGCATAAACCGCTCCATGCTGACAACACGTGGCTCAGAGTCCATCTCTTTCACTTCCTCTCCTCCGCACACATGCTCTTTGTCTGGGGAGCCCTTCTCTCCCCACTCCAGCTGGAAGACAGACTCTTTCCCGTCAAGGCTGTGCTCCAACAGGATCTTGAAGACAGCTCCCCAGTCCCAGCCTACAACCCTGGGCCCCACAGCCCTCGGTTCGAGTAACCATGACCTTGTTGACCAAGGAGCCCCTGGAAGACGGACACCACCCCTGTTCACTTCTGTCCTCTGAGCTGCTGTGACACAGCTGACAGAGGGAAGGGGGGTCAGCACATTTCCGATGAACAAATGAACAGGAAAGCACCTCCTCGAATCAGGTGGCATCAACTTAGCACTGAGTACACAGGGGCAGTAATGAATCAACAGGGGCTATGTGGCACTCTCACCTTCACAGTCCCATCCAACGTCTTCTGATAGAAGAGACACTGTGCCAACTGGCAAGCGACCTGCCACTGGGAAGGGTTGGGTAGCCTGCCCAAGGTCACTGAGTGAGGCAGGTGCCAGAGCCGGCATTCCAGCCCAAGCTGCTGACTTGTTCTTCGGTGAATGGCTGGAAGGGACAACCTAGGAAGCAGATGTGAGAGCAGCAGAGTACCTGGGGTTGATGTCGCCATCTCGCAGTATGCCCTGGGAATGGGTATTCCAGATCTGGGAAGCAAAGTGGGACCAAGCACAGGTGTGATGACGACTCAGCAACTGCTACACAAGCAGGGCTGGGGAGGCTGGGTGGACGAGGTCGAGGTGGGAGACGGAGGAGAAGGCTCCGGGCCAAAAAGGAAGCCACTGAGGTTGCTGAAAGTTTGTTTACATAATGAAACAAATGACAGGTACATTTGTGGTCTCCACCTAAAAGGGGGTTGGCACAGCTATTTCCTGTCTTACTAAAAACAAGACAAAAGCCTGAAACCCAGGGCCGGTGCTGTGGCACAGCTGGCAAAGCCACAGCCTGTAGTGCTAGATAGCGTATGGCACCTATTTGTGTCTGGACTGCTCTACTTCCCATCCAGCTCTCTGCTAGTGCAACCTGGTAAAGCGGAGGAGGAAAGGCCAAGTGCTTGGCATCCGCATCCATGGAGGAAACTGGGATGAGGCTCTGGGCTCCAGCCTGGCCCAGCTCTGGCTGTCTGGAATGAACCAGCGGGGCTGGTGGGCGGGAGGTTGGTGGGCAGGGCTTTCCCACCCTCCACAGCTGCCTTCAAAAGTTGCAGAAAGTCATTCTGTGTACTTCCTCCCAGCCCCACCACCACTTCCCCAGGGCTTCATAGTTTTCACAGAGTTTTTAGTTTGCCAGCCCAGCTGCCCTGCCTGTCCCCTGGAGCCAGTATGCCCCCAACAACAATGGGAGCTTGTTACTGGGGTTGGGCTACTCCTGTTGCCCGCCCCAGCAGGGCTGAGTAGAGGTTCACTTTGTGCCGGTGGGAGTAGGTGGGGAGAGGGTGCTAAGGAGAGCATGGACAAGGTGATTTCACTGGAGTCACAGGAAGTCCTGCCTAACCCAGGAGACCCTCGCACACCAGGCGTGTCAGAAAGACCTAAGTGGGAAAGTCGCCCTAAAGTGAGGCAATCTTGAGGAGGTCAGCTCAGCTGCAGAGAGGGTCTGAAAGGTTTATTCCTTGCCTTGCTGTGGCGCCGTGCTCAGCAGCGGCCACCAGAGGGCAGCACGCTTCCACAGCCGCCGGGCACCCAGGCTGAGCCAGCTGCCTGGGATGAGCAAAGGGAGAAGACAAGCCAGAGAGACAGAACTGTCCCAGGTGGTGTCAAACACAGTCCTTTTTGACTCGGGAAGGTGGAGGAGCAGCTTGTTGAGCCACTGCGCCCATTTGCCTAGTCTCGCAGAGCCCGTCATACCGGTCTCTGCCTCATCTGTGAGCACGACCACCCCCCGCCCCAGGACAGGCATGAGCCACCTCCCAGAGAAAGAAACCGATGCAGGGAGGCTGGGTGGCCCTGCTCTCACCTGGAGGGGCCACCCCTGGGGATCCTTGCTCTTTCCCTTGGGCCTTGCCTGCCAGTTTCTGACTATCCTCCCCACACTGCAAAAACAGAGTCCACTGGCCATCCTTCCCGGCCTCTGCTGGACAGCTTCCTGCCTCTGAGCCCTCAGTAACCCCAGGTGCCCTCAAGTCTCCTGGCAATGCAGCCGACTCCTCACCCATGCCAGGCATCCGCACGTCCATCAGGTGTTATCCACCCTCGCTGACCACCCATAGACTTGGTGTCCATCCCCACATCTGTCATCTAAAGGCCAGAAGGAATGGCAGTGACCTCTGAACCAAGCAACTGTCAGGCCCCATGGTGCACAGCGAGTTCTTTAGGGCCCTTCTCTGTAGCCTTCTACATGACAATAGTGGCAAAACCCTCAACTGAATGTGAGGCAAATCCTCCTGCCATGGTAGGACATGAGTAAGCCCTTGGCTGTGACATCACGTGCCTTCTCCCTCCCACTGCTTCCTAACCATTACCCTCATTGCTATTGCTGGCAGAAAGCCACTAACTAGTACCGGCACCCTGCCTGGTGCTGCACACACGTCACTTCCAACTAACTCCACACCGACTGGACAGGACAGAGTGAGCAAACCGAGACCTGGAGAGAACTGAGTACTTACTCCAAGCAACAGCAGCCGGCAAACGGCAGGTGCTGGGGCCCGGACCTAAGTCAGTCTTGGCTCGAGAGTCCTGGCTATTTCACATGAGAAAGATCCAATAGCAAGTATGCCAACCGCCCAGATTCACACTGCCGTTTGGGGCATGAGCTCTTCAACTTCCCAGCAGGTATAACTTGTTTTACCAGTGGGGTCAACTCTCCGGAGGGG